TACACTTTAAGGTTTGACAATACTGTATCACCTTCATTCATATTTTTTTCTCATTGGGGATGATCTCCAGTTATTCTGATCTATATCTTGCCACTGGACCCAGATGGCTCCAGAGGAGAAAGTGACGCTGGTGACTTGGCACAGCCCTCCTCACTTAAATCCAATTTACTTGCAAGTCATGGCATCACCTTCCTGGTGTCATGGTCCTCTTTGAGAATGAAGGACGAACGACAACAATTTTTCTTATTATTCCCTTTGAGATTACAGAACTTTTATTCCTTCAAACTAATTTTGTTATTGGTTTTAGTTTTATAACATACTTCATTAGGTAATTTTATTCATATGGAAGTAAAACTGTAGATTAATTTTGATTGTATTGTAATTTTTATTATATTAGCATGACCTAACCATGAGCACTGAATAACTGTTCAAGTACTTCACTGTCCCTTAATTACTCCTAATCATATTTATGAGTTAATTCCTTTGTGATTTTTCTTTTTATAGCTATCAGTACATATTAAAAAATGAAAAGCAAACTAAAATCCTGTGATAGTTTGCCTGGCTTAGATCATCTTTCTTTGAAAGATGTGCATTTGAGAGCTGTGAAATGAGAATTGGTATTTATTCTACAAAAAGGAAACCACTATTTCACAATGAAACAGAGCAGAAAATTCAGTTTATTCTGTAGCTTTTTTTTTTTTATTGCAACACACTTGTGGACTAGCAAGGGGATTTACTAGAAAGGCTTTATCTAAGACTCCCTCTGGCAATGATAAATGAAATGAGAGTAGATTGTTGGAAATATTATCTGAGCCTTTATTGAAGATTGTTATCTTGTTTTTTCTTTAGTACTTCTTGCCCTTTCCCTACACCACTTCTCTGAGTAGATTACGTTCTCCTGCAAACATGAGCAATTATGATCTAGGGGAAAGACTTAGCTTCAGATCCACTGACCTTTTGCTTAGAACTACCTTCCTCTTTGTACTTCCTCTTCTGTCTTGGAGCTGGCATCTCAGGGCTTCTTGCACTGGCTTCAAGCTGAGTGTCTAGTTGCAATAAAGTCACTTTGATCCTTTGAATGCCCATTACCATTCATGGGTGTACAGACCAAAGCCAATGTGTTGGATAACTTCCAGAAGTGTGTTGCTTTCACTCCAGTTCAGCAAATGTTTATCTTGATGCAGTGAATGGAGCACTGGGCTTGGAGGAAAACTCAACTCCCGCCTCAGACACATACTAGCTGTGTTACTCTGGGCAAGTCACTTCATCCTGTTTGCTTCAGTTTCTCATCTGTAAAATGAGGAAGAGAAGGAAATGGCAAACCACTCCAGGATCTTTGCCATTAAAACTCCAAATGGGGTCATGACTCTTTCATAGTCAGACAAGACTGAAACGACTGAACAACAATAAATATGTGTTCACTAGTTGTAATATAGGCCTCAGTTTAACATTGTTATTGGTCATCCTGGCCATACTCTCAAGAGTTTGCTGACCAGCATGTTCACTAAGTTCATTGAATTCCCTGTCTTATGCGTGGGGATAAACTCCTATAACCCTCACACCCTTTTTTCATTGTCTTTTCCTATTCCTTTATTTTGCTGAGGGGTCAGGTATCCATGTGAAGTTCTGAACATCTTCCAGCTATGAATACCAAGTTGTGTCATACTCAAAAGGATTCAGCAGGAGGGGTCTTAGACTAATGCATTTTTAGGGTGTGGGTAGTAGAGCTTTATTTTTGAAATTCACCATCACATATGAATAGGCCTATGCCTGTATGTAAGATTGTGTTAGATAATTTATGGAACTAAAACCTTCCATAACAAAACTGATCTATAATGATTGGTATGCTACTTCCTATCTGCTGAGAAGTTCATGATAGCTGAAAGGAGCCAGAGATGTAATTTATTCCAATATATTAATTTTACAAATGAGGAAAATGAGGACAGAGTTGAAGTGACTTGCTGCTTATCCAGTTAGTTGCTAGTTCTCATTGACTCTACTTTCATAATTTGTCCCCCTTCTGTCTACTCACATGGCCTGCACCCTAGGGAATTTTCTGCTTTTTCACTGTATTGCTCTCATTGCCAACATCCTAGAATAGTATGATAATCTCTGTATTCATCTCTCTGTCTCGGTTGAATCTCTCCTCTGTCCATTTCATTCTCCACACAGATGCCAAAGTGATTGTTTTTAAAAACACAGGTCTGACTGTGTCACTCCTCTTCTAAATAAACTCTGATAGCTCCCTACTACCTCTAAGATCAAATACAAAATCCTCTGGCAACCTACCATTCCAGCCTTGCTCTGTATTACTCTTTACTCACTTTCATTCCTTCCAACCAGTATAATTTCTCACAGTTCTTCACACGTGGCACTACTCTGTCTTCCTCTTAGTATCTTTGTTCAACCTATCTTCTATTTCTGGAATGTATTCTTACCCCCCTCATTTCCCTCAAAACTCAGCGTAAGTGTTGTCTTCTTTATGAGGCCTCTCCTCAACCTCCAGCCACCCCCAGTGCCAAATAACCTTTGGTTTATTTTTACATGATTTTGTAAATACACATTGACTTTCCTTGAGGACAAGGACTACTTTATTTTTGTCTCTTCAGCCATCATTTAGCACATTGCCTATCACATAGTAGGTCCTTAGTAAATGTCTCTTGGTTGACTGGTTGCCCAAAGTCAACAGATAATAAATGGAAGGATCAAAATTTTAACTCAGTTTCTCAGACTGCACTTCCTACACTCTTTCAGTTTCACCACAATGGCATTCTTTGGTTTTCAAGGAACTGTACTTTGTTCAGTGAGGTGAATTCTAAATGAGAATTTTTTGAAGTCAATCTGAAGTGAATTTTATGTTTGTTTTTATAACGCTGGCCCCACATATGAGAAATTTTTAGGGGAAAACATCATATGAGATAATCTGCCACAAAGTGGAAATTTGTCTTGATTTTTCTCCTCAACAAAAAGTCTACATTTTGACAAAAATAGTCAGCAACATTAGGCAATGCTGGGTATTTCTGGTTACAGCTGAAAGACATGACATCATAACCCAATGTTTCCCTAAATTATTTTCATTTGGTAGTCATGCTAGATCTGTTTCCTCTTGATTTAACTCTCATGTGTTTGAGTATTATATTCTAATTCCTGGTATTAGTTTTAGTTCAAATTCATAAAGGGACTTGACAGTCCTCTTGAGTTGGTTGTTGGAACATTTTTATTTGCCCAATTTATCATTTGTGGAGGGACTAGTGTTGTTTCCAACTTGGAGAACAAACAATGATTTGTATTTTTAAGTTTAGCTTATAACATTAAACATTCAGAATAAAATGACAAAAGTCAGTTTTTATCTTTTTTTAATCCAGGTAGTGTGGCATAGAAGAAAGAGCATTGGGAGTTGGATTGAAAGACCTGTGTTCAAATTATGATAATGATAATTTCTATGAAATTTATTATTGTTGTTCAATCATTTCAGTCATGTCTTGACTCCTTCATGACCCCATTTAGGGTATTCTTGGCAAAGATACTGGGCTTGTTTGCCATTTATTTCTCCAGTGGGTTAAGGCAAACAGAGGTTAAGTGACTTGCCCGGAGTCACACAGCTAATAAGTATCTGAGGCTGGATTTGAACTGTTGAACATGAGTCTTCCTAATGCCAAGCCCAGTGTTCTACCCATGCAAGGAGTGGAGCTGATAGCCAAACAAATGAAGAGATCTCTCCTGATGGAGGTGGGGAGTAAGGAGTCCCCAGCCAGGAACCTAGCCTTAGTCTCTGACCCAGAGGCTCTGGTTCCTGCTGAGATAAGCGCGATGAGAATGGAGAAGGGGAACAAATTTGCCAGAGACTAGGAAATTCCTACTAGTAATAGCCTCAGGCTTATCCTTTTTTTGGTGTTGTTATTGTTCAATTATTTCTACTCTTCTTGACCCAATTTTGGGGTTTTCTTGGCAGAGATACTGGAGTGGTTTGCCATTTCCTTCTCCAGCTCATTTTACAGATGAGGAAACTGAGGCATACAGGGTTAAGTGACATGCCCAGAGTCACACAATTATTAAGTATCTGAGGCTGAATTTGAACTCCAGTCTTCCCTACTCCAGGCCTGGCATTCCATCCCCTGTACCACTTAACTGCTCACTCTATGAAAATAACCTTCAGTAAATCATTTCAGCAATCTGTGCCTCATTTTTCAATCTGTAAAATAAGGCAGTTAGATTTAATGGTTTCTAAGGTCCCCTGTGTTCTATGATCCTATAAGTTGACTTTCTTGGACTTGATAGTTCTTCAGATGTTTTGGATTTTTTTTTCACAATAGGTAGATAAAAGCTATTTGTAGGTTCATCTTAGGGCACTTGTTGGGTATTTTCCTCCTCCTTTGCTGTATTTAGCCATATTTTCTACCTTTGCCTCCTTTCTGACTGTTAAAATAAAAGTCATTTTCTTTCATTCTGGCTCTAAGTATCCTTATGTAAACCCATGAGACTGGTATCCTCTGTGCCACATTTTTTTCTTCTGTTCTTCTGCCCCAACTTTTACCCTAACAGCCAATTGCTGAATGTTGCTATTTCTTTTTCTTTTTCTTTTTTTTTTTTTTACAAACCCAATCCCTGATTATTTCACAGGATCAATTTTGGGCCACTCAGGGTGACTGGTACTATCATACAACTGCTTAGGAGTCAGGACCATAGATTCTTTTAACAAATATACCAAAAAATATTTTTTAGTTGATATTCTAACTTATAAAGCCCATGGGAACATCATTGATTCTTTTGAAATGTGTTTTTGAAAAGCATTTTATTGAGTCTGTAAATTAGAGCAAATTGTTTATACATAATTTCCCTACAAAATACAAATATTTAAAATGTGTCTTCAAAGTTGCTTATTATCTAAGTGCTTATAAACTCATTCCCATTCTCTAGTTTATAAACATTTAACAACAAATGGTATGCCTTTTTTTTAAAACTGGAAAATTAGATGACATGCTATAAATTATCTTTTACAGTCATTGCCAGTTTTCGAGGAACAGTCCCATATGGCCTATCATTGGAAATTGGAGACACTGTTCAGATCCTGGAGAAATGTGATGGTAAGTGTGCTATTGGTCACAATTGATTTGGGCTGACATGGACTGTCATTTCATTTTGTACTTTGTAACATTTATGAAATTTTTCCTAAACACAAAACTAATGTCTGTTTAAGTTTTATAGGTCACAGAGAGACACTTAGTAAGAGATTTTCCCTCCCTATCTATATAAGGTCAGAGAAAGTAAAAATCAATTTACAATTTGTGATTTTTAAAATTTGTCACTTTTATTGTTTCTTCTTCGTTTTTGCTAATGTTAAGAAGTACTACTCTGACAGTGTGCCTGACTCAGTATGTCAGACTAGATGCCATTTGTGGTATCCTAGAAGGTTAGTGCTTAAAAATCATCTGTAGTAGTTTCTTCTTTGTATAGAAGAGGAGATGGTTACAAAAAGATTATAAAAATAACTTGCTAGTTGCTGTCCACAATGGGGTAAGAGCCTTTGTCTCCAACCTGCTAGCTCAGTGTTTTCTACCTAAAACTTTCACATCTGAACACAAGAAAATATTTACAGCAACGATGTAAACTACTTGCTTTATTTTGTGAACTAACCTTAAAATTCTTCATTTATATGGTATGTGGATATCTAAATTGTCAGACAGTTATGTTCATGTGCTTAAAAAACTGTTATATAACATTGGCACATGAAAAGTTTATATCTAATTTCCCTCTAAGACAATTTACTTAAGAAATTTTCTAATAAAGGAAGGCCTTATTGTAACATAGCTCACTAGTACTTGGATTCACATTTACACGACTTGAATAATGTTTGCTAAGGAAAATGACTAAATTCAATAAAAGGCTGGCATACAAGAAGAAGCAACATAATGTAGTGACAGAAGATCCTTCCAGGAGTTGGGAAGATCTAAGTTCAAGTCCAGTTTCTAACATATATTAGGTCTGTGACCAGGACCATAATGTCACTTCACCTCAATGCCCCCAGGCAACTCTCCACATTCTAACCAAATTGCTAAATTTTTACACTGGGAGTTTTCCACACCTAAGAAATCCCAAGTCTAAAGCAACTTCCAAGAAAAACAACAACAACAACAACAACATTGCTTCATGTTTCAAAATAGCCCTTCGAGGAAAGTTATGTGTAATGAACAAAATTTATGAATGTATTTAATTATGGCTTCCATTTTATTTTAAGTTAGGTCATAGGATCATAGCTTTATGACCTCAGAGGCCATCCATCAAGTCCAACAACCTCATTTTTGCAGATGGGGAATCTGAGAGATTAACTATCTTTCCCGGGGTCCCACACCAACTAAGCGTCTGAGGCAAGATTTGAACCTAGGTCTTCCTGATTCCAAATCTAGTGACCTGTCTACTGCACCAACATGCAAATCTGCTTTATTACTGTCTGTAAGCAAAGAAGTTTTTATATTTAAATGAGTAAGTTTTGAAAATGAAAAAGTATAAAGGAGAAACAAGGCAACTTTTATTTTTCATGTCTAATAGAATGTATACATTATTACCTATTCATGTTACTCTTTAGGACTTAAATTCTGAAATATAAAGTTGGCAACATTTATAAAAATTGTTTCTAAAATAAAATGTTTCAAGGTATTCTTAAGTTCTCCTTAATCATTTACAAAACATTCTTACAAAAAAAATCCACTTCATACTATCCAGTTTTAATTACATATCAATATTAATTGTTTATAACCTCCATTTTTATCAGTTGCAAACATATTTTTCCCCTTAAAAACAGTATTTGGCTAGTGATTTGGCTAATTTGTAGGTCAAGTAATATTGCTAAAACCCTAAAACTCATGTTTAGCTTACTCGGATAATGAGTGAGTGCACTATGCTCACGAAGCTTTCATCAGGGATAGGTTCTATCTGTACTTGAGGCAGGTGACTTCACTTTTTCTTATGATCATAGGTTAACCAGCTTGTCATTTTACTTGGTTTGCACTTGGTCACAAGAGGGATGTGGCTGAAATAACAAAAGTAGAACAGTTCAAATTTCTCTCTATCCATGAGAAAACAGTCCAAAGCCCATGTCATACTACTGAAGATGCATCCTGAGCAATGTCTTCTGCCTGTGTGTCTCAAGCATGCTAGAGATAGAGCCTTTGGTAACCTGGCTATCTACCTTTTCAAGCCAATGTAAAGAGACTCCCCTATAACCAGAATTGTAAAAAGATTGACTGCATCCTCATTATTTAATCTGTTGATAAAGTAGATGAGACTCCAAAAATAGGTCTGAATAGAAATGCTGATGCCAATCCTTACTCATGCCCCATCTCATCTATCCATCTTAGGCTTCTACCAGTAGTCCTTTGCGTCAAGAAGAGATTTTGTTCCTATAATCAATATCTGTCTGGTTCATGTCCTTCAGTTCCATTTTTGTCAAGCATAGGACTGAGGAGTAGTGGTGAAAAAAGGAAGAAAGCTACAGGACATAATACTATTGCATATTACAATATAAAGAGAAACTTTGGAGGTCTCTTAAATTCTTTCTGCTTTCTTGACCAGACTTCCAGATGAGACATGGGTACTTTGAAGTCAAAAGTTTTTTAAGGACAAAAGACTTTAAATATGATTGTAATTAATTTTCATTTATTTGTAGTCTTTTGTTAACACAGGTTATACTTAGATTAGTAATTCCCAGGATTTAATTTATTGCATTTTAATAAATCTCATACTTTTACATATTTTCTTTATATATGTAGACTATCTCCCCATTGGTAAGGACAGAAAGAGTTATTGTTCTTTTCATTCTTTTGGTTTATCAAAATATAATTATTTCTCCACAGGCTGGTACAGAGGATTTGCCTTAAAAAACCCAAATATCAAGGTAAAAACACTTGTTTCTAACTCTAGTCCTAAGCATTTTTGAACAAAAATATTTTTATTTGAATTATATGTTTGGTTGAGATAGTGGGGATTGTACATGACAACAGTAATGGAGATTTAAATAATTTTAAAAACTCCTTTGAACTTGGATTATATTTTAGGATGGTGACCAAATGTTAATCCTATGTGGATCTTGTGGATTGATCTGGGGGACCTTAGTAAGCTCATTATGCATAAACATAATGACTAGCATGTTAGATTGCTAGAAACCAAAAAGGAGAGCTGGGGAATGCATTAAAAAATTAATATCAGCTAAATATTTTTGACCATGAAAAAATATTTTTGGTATTACTTGTCAGATATATTGGTGAGGGAAATATATATACATATATATGTATACATATTTACATATATATGTATACACACACATATACACACACACTCACTTACATATCTATCTATATCTATACCTATATATTTTTTTCCTTCAAGTTTTATTCCACACAGATGGAAGAGATCTCCTGGGTTGCGGAGATAAAAATGTAGGAAAGCCTCATTCCTGATAGCAGTGACAAAAATTGGGGTTCATTATCCTTTATATATTCATATGAATCCTTATTAGAAATTGAATAATAAATGTCACCACTGCAGTGCTAGATTTGTGTAGTCTAGTGGTTCTCAAAGTGTGGCACTCCACATACACCCCCCCCCCCATTCAGGGAGTCCACAGGGTCGAAACTATTTTCACAATAATGCTAAAATATGTTAATATCTAACATGGTAAATATCAATAGATATAATCAAAATAAACAAAAACTTCAAAGAAGTTTTGCAGAGATGAATGACTGGGGAGCAAAGCCTTTTCTTATTTTTATCCAAGCTTCACTGTTATACTTCACTGTTATACGCTCAGTTTCAATTGTTTTGCTGCTATTGTTTCTTCATTTACATTGTCTTTGTGGCATTGTTTTCTCTAGTTTGGCTTATTTTACTTTGTATCAGTTTGTAGAAGTTTTCTCATGCTTCTTTGTAGTCATCAAATAAGTCAGTGTTACATTACATTTGTTTATCCAGTTTGTTTATCCTTCCTCAAATGAAGGGCATGTACTTTGTAGTTCTTTGCTACTGCAAAGTGTTGTTTTACATCTAATCTTTCTCCTCTCTCCCCCTACTTCCCGTATAATTTCTTTTATCCATTTTTGTAATCTAATACATTTCCCCTTTTTTCCAATCTGTCATTTAATGGCCAGTTAATTATTAGTACTGGTATGTAAACTTTATAGTATTTTTCATTTTAAATACACATACCCAATACTTTTTAATATAAGATGCCTGCTTTAAATATACTCTTCCTCCCATTTTTTCTAATTCTGCTTAGTAATTTTATTTCTTAAAGCTTACTCTGAAGGCAAAGAGAACCTAAGGGACATAACATTATCTCACTTCATTTCCTACTATACACTGACCTAAAGTTGTCATTTATCATTTGCCACCCGATGCAAATCGAGCTTCAATTTTTAATTGGATTTGAAAAAAAATGAAAAAAAGTCTATCCAGACAATTGCCATCTTTTCACTATCCATGAGGTCCTTTCTTCCAGTTCTTCTCTTTGTTAAGTCTGTTACATTGAGATAAATACAAATAATGGGAAAGAGGTACGGGTGACTATTTTATACCTATTTCCTAATATTGAATGTGCTTTTTAAGATTCTATTTTTAATTCAGTGATAAAATATTCAACTGGCATTTGTTTGCCTGAATATTTCATTGCATTTGTCACTTGATGACAGGTTGAAAAACCTTTAGGAGTTTCAGTCATCTAATGGACAAGAAAGTTGCTTCTCTTTCTCTCCTTTTGACATTTCCCATTTGTTTTCTCTTTGTTGTCAACAAAACAAAGCTGTGCATTAATATAGCTTCTGGGCACTCATCAGCAGCAGTGGCATGAAAAGCCTTAGCTGATGCTGCGTTGTCAGCAAATACTAGCTATAACTTGTTATGCATGTATGTATGTACACATGGGCATGTATGCACATATGTACATAGGTATGTACACATATACACATGTGTATGTACATACACACATACATGTGTGTATATTTGTTTGTGGCCCTCAGTGACTAGTGGTCATGTTTGAATGTGCATCCCAATGGAACGATGGGCTAGACTGGGAGGGTGAAAGTCAAAAGTGTTCCAGTAAAATACTCTAAAATGTATAAAGTTTTCCATTCTAACATAGAGGGTTAAAACTTGTCTATAAAATAATTGATCATCTCATATTTTGAATCTATCTGAATAATACTATTTCTTTCTTGAAGGCTTTATTCTTTAGTTTTAATTTCTGTTGAAGTATTTACCTAAATTTGAGAACTAGTAATTATTAAAAGGGTTTGAAATGAGAACAACTAAACTGGAATGACTAGAATCTGGTTATATAGATTACATGGTAACAGTTTTTAGATTTTTTTTCCCCATTCATGGTAGCTTTGTTGTCTTGTGGCTGGTTTTTTTCATATGACTTGTGAAAACCAGTCCTGCCTTCATCATAAGCAGCTGGCTGCAGGATCTTTGGGGAATCTTAATTAAAACTATTTTTTCTTTTCCAGGGTATATTTCCTTCCAGCTACATTCACTTGAAAAATGCATGTGTTAAGAACAAAGGGTAAGAAATGAATTTTAGTTTTTAAGATCTGCTTTGGAACTTTTATAGGTTTTGTATTTAGCACAAAGAAGAAATTCTTGGAGATAATAATAATAATATTAATAAATACAACAATCATAATAGCATCTTTCATTTATATAATGCTTTAAGGTTTGCAAAGTACTTTAGAAATACTATCTGATAATATCCTTACAACAACCATGGGGGGTAGGTGTTTTTATTATCCCTATTTTTACAAGGTGTGACATCTGAGGCAGACAGTGGTTAAATAAGTTGTCCAATGTCACAAAGGTAGTGTCTAAGGCTCTCTTGGAACTCAGGTCTTCCTAACTCCAGGTTCAGTGCTCTGTCCATTGTACCACCTAGCTGCCTATGCAAGTGGTATTTTTAAGTTGTTATGTACATTGCAAGGTACTAGATATTTTCTACTGTAATGGTTAATGTGGTAGAAGGAACCAGAATCAAGGCTTGGTCTACTGTGATTTCAGCGGAATGATTATTAATATTAATAATAGCTAGCATTTATTAAACAACTAGTATGTGTAAGGTATTGTGTTCAGTGCTTTTCAAATATTGTCTTGTTTGATTCCCACAACAACCATGGAAAGTGGGTGCTGTTATAGCTACTTTATAGCTGAGGAAACTGAGGCATACAGAAGGTAAGTGACTTGTCCAAGGTCTCACATCTAGTACATTTCTGAGGCAGTTTTTTAACTCACATCCTGATTCTACCAAGCTGTATTTATTATTATTGTTGTTATAATAATAATTATTATTATTAGTTGTTGTTGTAACAGTAGCAGTAGTAATAGTTGTAGTAGTAATGACAATTGAACTATTGAATCTTGCAGTAATGTAAGCCCTAGATGTAGATTTTGTCTACTTTTGTCATTAATTATGAATAAACCATGCCTGGCTCAAATCTTTTTATAAAGTGTGGATGAGAGATAGCGTAGCATATGGGATTTAGTTGGCCTTGGAATGAAGAAGACCTTTGTTCGTGTCTTTCTTCTGACATGAACTGCCTTAAGGGCTGTGTGGCAGTCACTTAGTTTTTCAGTGCCTCTACGTGCCTCTGTAACACTATAAATGCCAATTGAATTGCCAGTCTGCATGAATAAGGTAACAGTGGGAGCTCCCTACTTCAATGAAGTCATAGTCCAACCTTATCCTTTCCCTCCAAAAAAGAGAAGATGATGAGTAACTCTCTCAGACAGAATGTAAGTAATACATAAGTAATATCCTCGACATTTGTCTACTTTACAAAAATATTTTTGTATTGTGTGATATTTGTAAAAGACCTTTTCTGAAATTGCCTTCCTGCTTAGGATAGAGAATATATTGCTGTGGAAAGCATGCTAACCTAGGAGTCAGGAGGCCTGAGTTCCAGTCCCTCTTCTGCTATTAAGTAAGGGGTGCCTTTTGGCAAATCAGTTTACTTCCTTGGGTCTTACTCACCTTATCTGTGAAGTGATGGGAATGAGCAAGATGATGTCTAACAATCTCTTCCAGTTCTGAATTCTGACTCTCCCTCTTTAATAAATTTATGTATAAGAAAGCAAATAAATTAAGATTTTAATTGGCAGGTTTTTCTTTTTAATGATTTGTGCCCACCTACTTTCAAGAGAATTTGGGGAGGTGACTAGCTGGTTAATGTGCTGTATACATTCCACTTTGAACTGAAGCAAGAGAGATTGTATATAAAAGAAACAGATATAGTAGATGTTCCTAGGCCACAGAGATGAGTTGATGACTGTCATTTAGTCAGTGAATTTGGCTCTAATCATTCTGGCAGCTGATTTCTTTTTAAGTGGAGACATGGGGGAGACATAAAGTTACATGTTTTTGCTTTGTGACAAGAAACAACAGCCTTCATCTGCAAACAATTAAGAAAAAAAACAAAGCTAAATCTGAACAAGGATTTCTCACTTGGAACTTCACAAAAAAGACATTTCCTACAATATCTTAAACTACTGTGTTGCAAAATAAATAGAATTGCATTTGAGAGAGTTCTCCTATCATCCCTATGTAACAGCAGAGGACATAGCATTAAATCATAACTCAGTAAAGTAATTTCTGTGAGGGATAAAGATAATGAAGTCCAGGTCCTTTTCTCTCTGATGGATTAACTTAATATAGAACTCAGAATCTAGATGAATGAAGAGTTATGTGTCCATTAGACTGTCTCAAATATCAAATGTGCTATGCAAGCTTTTGCCATGCTCTGAGTCACACTAAGTTCACATACAAGCCCCTAAATATACTATATATAGTATGTATATCTATATACTAATACACAGACATATACTAATATCTGTGGTGTTGGTTGAAGTCTGAACCATGAGCTTTAGATGCCAGGTATGAGAAAAGCAGAGCTAGCATACTTTTGGGGAAGTTAAAGACTCCCATCTACATGTTGCCCAAATGGAATATCAACCAATTTAATTGTGGGCATGGAGCAGCACAAAAGTTTGTTTAGTAATATTTTAAGAATAGAGTTTAGAATCATAACAAGCATTTGTACCATTTACATCAATTGTAACTTCAGATGATCGTATAGAAGAGACAACTTTAACTAGGAAAAAAGTTTGGGGGAAATATCTTATTAGTTCATAGTCCTATCTGTGCAGATATCCCAGTACAGCCCTTATGATTTAGCTGATTTGAAGCCAATGCTATCCTCTTGTGCTTACCTGTTGACTTATATTAAAAATTCACCTCTAAACAGCCAATGGAATTAACCTTGACTTTGCAATTAAGATTGATCATTAAGCACTGCTGAAGCCTACCAAATAAGACAATTTTAGTTTGACATATATACATGAAGCTGTTTATTCTCCTAATCGATACATACAGCTGCTCACTTAAGACTGCTCATTTTAGCATGAAAAAAAATCTCAGCTCTCAACCCCATAAAACTGAACTACATTCTTAGTGCTTTCTAATGACAAGATATTCATAGCCATGTAAAAGAGGTTTAAGGTTTTAAGTTCAAGTAGTACTTAAATAGTAAGAGAGTTTTGATATTGTACATTCTGTGCCTGTCATTATATTTTTTCAAGATCCAATGGGATTTAGTGTTCCCTTTCCCACCTTCCTGAGGCTGAGCTCTTTAGGACCATTTTAAAATGTTGCCCATTTTAAGTATGATAGCTACTGGAAGAACAAAATAGCTTTAATATTCTTTGAAGCATCATGTTTTTCTGTTTACCTTTTAGAAGTTATTTCTTACTGGAACAGCCAGTCAGTCTGTTTCTCTGAAAGCTGGTGTGCCATTTTTATAAGTATTTCATTTTTCCCTTTTAGATACCCCGTTTTATAGTTTTTATACTTTTTTATATCTAGAAAATGGAGAACTGTCACTAGGCAGGCGTAATTATAGCAGCCCTCTGAAATGAAGAGCTCAGATTCCTGTGGTGAAGAGTACTCAACATGTGCTTTTACTTTTTCTTAGTGCCTTTAATGAAACTTTTAAAAAATACCAATTAGAGTTATTTTAGTGATTTCCTGGGAAAGAGCCTTCAGAGCTGCTATTAGCATCAGGCAAAGAATTTCATCTCTCATTAGGAGCTCTTGGTTTGAATCAATCCTATTATCTTTTCTAATGGGTCATCTCTACCTGTCATCCTTGAGAAAATTAAACTTGACAAACATAGAATCCTGTTCATCTTAAGTCATAGAATTAGATGATCATAGAATTTGAGAGCTGGGATAATAATATGTTCCTGCAAAGCAGTATTAATCCTGTCCTTATTTTAACCTCATAAGATGTGAGTCTGTCACCTGAAACTGAGACTCAGTGGAAATGGAGACTCTCATGCCAAATAATAGAAAATAAAAATCTGTCCATTTCCCTTTCCTTTTCATATCTCTTCTGTTTATTAAAGGAACTTATTGATAGAATCAACCCCCCAAGTATATATTTGCTAGAATATTGTGTGAAATATTTTTCAATATATGGATTTTGTTCATTAGAGGCCTATGCTTCAAAGAATGATGTAAAGGATGGAAAGCTGGGCCTAAAAAACATGGTAACTCTTCAAAGTAAATATAGCATCAGTATTAGCATGGGGATTTAAGGCCAAATATTAAAACTATCTTTGCGGCATCTCTGATTCTGAACCCTCAAATAATCAAATCAATTCAAGAAAAATTAATTCCCTACTATAGACAAGGCACTTTATCAAGTTCTGGGAATACAGAGACAAAAATCAAATAGTACCTGTCCTCTGGGAGTTCCCACTCTACTCAAGGACCCAATATGCACACAGATTAGCAAGTAACACAGAAATTCAATAAAGAGAAAGAATTAACAACGCTGTAGAAAAAGGCAAGCATAAAAATCCTTCCATTGGAGATGATATCTAATCTTAGTCTTTAAGGAAACTTGGTGTTAAGAGACCAAGGTGATGAAGGAGTGCAATTTGGTCATGTGGGGCAGCCTGTGAAAAGAAACAGAGATGGGAGATGGGGTGCTAAGTTTGGGAAATAGCAAGTATGTCAGTTTGCCTGTCATTTTGCTTGAATTAAGGATAGTAACAATATCACATAATTCTGGAAAGGTTGGTGGGAGTTAGATATTGCAGAGATCTTTAAATGATAGGCTGAGAATTTTGGATTTCTCTCTCCATCTAATGTTGCTGTATAATCAGAAAGCGTTGACCATCTGTAGATTGAAATAATGCTGAGGAGCCTCTTCCCACCCCCATTTCCCCATTGTGACACACAAAACAAGTTGATTATCTATAGTATTTGAAAATACTGTTTGGGGTATTTTTTTAAAATATATTTTTAATATCACAGGCAGTTTGAAATGGTAATTCCAACAGAGGACTCCGTTATCACAGAAATGACATCAACTTTAAGAGACTGGGGAACCATGTGGAAGCAACTTTATGTGGTAATTAGCTTTTTATGGTATTGTTGTTCTGGCAGAAAATAATTTGAAATAAAATACCAGAAATCTCAATAATTCTGCATATCATTAAATGTTAAGTTTTCTAAAGGTGAGGTATTATTGCCATTGTGTTTGAATGCTTTTAACTGCTTCTCTCCTAACTTTAGTAAAGGTTGATTTTGTTCATTATAAACTCTCTGAGTAACTCTATGCATCCCTGCTGGGGCTGAAGTGCCTTCAAAGAAAGATCAAATTATATTCAGTATACTTTTCCTCTTAAATGTGTTTCAATATATTGTAATTCCTTTTAGTAATCAAAATACTTGGTAGGTCTCAGTTAATATGTGGTTAATACAAGCTCCTTATTCCCCCATTATATTGGAAAAAGACTTGATATGTTGTGTTTTTTAAAAAGCTTCAAGGTATGTATGATAATCAAAGAAAACTGATAGGCTAATTAATTATGGGCAGCTAGATGGTGCAGTGGTTAGAGCACTGAGCCTGGAGTCAGGAAGATTCATCTTTCTGAGTTCAAGTCCAGCTTCAGATACTTAATAGCTGTGTGACTCTAGGCATGTCACTTAACCCTGTTTGCCTCAGTTTCCTCATCTGTAAAAGGAGCTGGAGAAGGAAAAGGCAAACCACTCCAGTATCTTTGTCAAGAAAACCCCAAATGGGGTCATGAAGAATTGGATGCAACTGAAAACAAAACAAAAAAGGCTAGTTAATTATTTAACATATATTTATTAGAAGGAATTAATCAGGCTTTATAATTAAACTGACAGGCTAGATTTTATTTTAGGAGCTAAAAGGCATGTATAATAAATTTAAAACATTACTGATATGTTTCTTTTGAGAAGATGTTTTGTAAGGATTATGCCAAAGAGGAAAAAAATTTTCTAGAATGAGATATATAGAAATGGAGTAATGGGATAATATTTTTGATCTGTGTTATTTGTGGGATTGAATAGTGTATTTGATTAAGGAAAGACAGAGCTTAAGAAAATGCAGCAAAATAACTGATGTTGGTACTGTAGCCCTGTATTCCTGCAGCCGGGTAGCTTGAGCAGCCTTATGTTGAGAATCGAGAACAGTCCTGTATGAAATGTCTGAATGTGAGCATTGCTAGCATGAGAAGAAAAGCACAGTGGAAATAAGAGTGACCTGAAGGACCTTGTGCCATGCAGGCAGCTAAAGAAAAGCTGTTCCTTTTTTAGACTGAAACACACACACACACACACACACACACACACACACACAAGATATACTCTACTGAAAAATGAGCAAAGCCCAAGTAAAATTCTTAACTTAATACAATAAAACAATGACATATGGGTACTTTTTTAATAGAAGGGAAAGAATCATTTGAAAGTAAGGTGAAAGTCACAGCATCCTTAATATCTAATATGTGCGCTTGGACAATGGGTCACTCTACTGCCATTTGAATGAACAGAGCTACCCTGCTAGTAATCTGCTTTACATCTGTCTTTCTGAAAAAAATTTAGATTATATTTTACCTGATCTGGTTATTCATAACTTTATTTGATGCTATGAACTGCCTTTTTGAAGATCACAGTCAGTTAATTTGAAAACCAACCAAGTGAGGATGCTGACCACCCTGTAGGAGGCAAACATTAGAGACAGGTCAACTCCAACACAAAGCTTGTTTTGTTCTGAGCAACAGAAAATGGATTAACAGTAAGAATGTACAAATTTTCCTGGTGAATCAGGAATCTACATATTATTCCTAGATCACATTAACCTGTATTTAAAAATAGCCAATGCAATTTGACCTGGAAAGATAATGGAGAAATAAAATACAAGATTATTAGGCAGCCTAATTTGGAGATGATGACTCTGATAGGTTTGTCTTCTTGTTCAAAGATAATGGTACTTTATTAGTGGTGATTGTGGGCGTACTATCCCCAGACCAGTATTTTGGGTCAAGTAAAACACAGTGACTGGCAGGTGCTTGTGTCAGTAGAGATAGATTAAGGGCAATCAAATTCTGTGACAGTGTAGAAAAAGGAAAGATCAGCAGTAGAATAAGGAATATTGATACTTAGCAGGAACACTGGCAGGGAATTTCCAATGGAGGAAATTACACACAGAATCTTAGACTTAGAGCATTTTCGATCTGAAGTACCCTTTGAGATTGTCTAGTCCAACAAATAAAGACATTGATGCTCAGTGAGATTAATTGACTTGGACAAGATCACACAGCTACTTAATTGTCAGGAAGCAGATTCCAGTGGAGGTCTTCTATCTAGCTCTTTGTTATTATTGAGCAAAACACAGCTGCTGGAGTGTGATTGAACAACAATCATATATATATATTATATATGTGTATATATGTATATGTATGTGTATATATATATATATATACACACACACATATACATATAATATGTCTGTTCACTTAATAAACACTCTTAAGTGCCCAGTATGCACAAGACACATTACTCTGGCTGCTATGGGAGATTCATAGAAGACTATGACAGCACCTGACTGCAGGAGGCTTATGGTAAGGGTAAAAAGATGTGTACAAAAGGAGACAGAAGACAAGGAATTGTATGTAAGAGATGTCTAAAAAGGTAAGTACAAAGTCCTATCTTGGTTCAATAGAGAAACTATTTAAAAATGTGAAGATGAGCAAGACAGAAAAAGAATGAATTTCAGTACTTCCAGGAAGATACAGAGAAGTTGGGCAGAGGTTGGGGAGAGAATAGGGTTAGGCTTTTGGGGTAGAAGGAACGGCATGATTGGGAAAGTTGTCAAGAGAAAAAGTATAGAGGGTGTTCAGGGAAGGGCAAGTAATTAAGATGAAATCACTTTCCCTCTGCTAATTAATTGGCACTAGAGGTGACATGGTAGAGTGGAAAGAGTCTGGATTTTGAATCAGGACAACAGTTCAGGTTTCAGCTGTGATAGCGTGCTTGCTGGCAGTATAACCCTGGGTAAATCGTGTAACCTCTTGAAGCCTCAGTTTCTTTAGCTGAGAAACATAATAAGGATAATAATATTTGGTACTACCTACCTCATAAAGCTATTGTGGAGAAGTTGATCTATAATTTTTAAGAGCTAAATAATGTTGTGCTTTTATTATTGAAAGGCAGCATGGTATGTGAGGCAGCTACATGGCACAGTGTATAAAGCTCTGGATGTGGACTCAGAAAGACCTGAGTTTAAAACCAGACTTAGGCACTTACTAGCTCTGTAACCGTGGGCAAGTTACTTAACTTTTTCCTCAGTTTCCTCATTTATATTATAGGTATAATAATAGCATATGTTTCCTAAGACTGTTGTGAGAATATGATGAGATATTTGTAGATTGCTTTGAAAAACCTGAAGCGGTATATTAATGTTAGCTGTTGTTGTTTTTGGTAATAATAATGTTATCATGGTTTATAGTAGGAGTTTTAGGCTGAGACCTGAGTTTGAATTATGGCTTTAAAATTTAATAGTTTTGTGACCCTGAGCAAGTGATTTAGCCTTTTTGTGATTTAATATTTCCATCTACCAAGTGAAGATAAGAATTTCATTACCAAACTCTCAGGACTGTCATGAGACAAGTACTTTTTAAACTTTCAAGTGCCATTTAAGTGTGGTTTACTTTTGTTGTTATTCATTCTAAATTCTGGTGTCAGGCCAAGCTAGTTTAATCATTCTTCCACGGGACTGCACTTCAAATACTTGAGAACAGCGATGATGTTACCTCTTGACCAAGCCAATCATCCACAGGTACCTTCAAGCAATCCTTAGGTGATGTTGCTTTGAGTCTCCTAGCCGTCTTGGTCATTGTTCTCAAGGCTTGCTCCAACTTGTCATTGTCCTCCTTAAAATGGCATCTGCCTACTATGGGTTAGGCACTCTGTTAGGTACTTGGGATACAAAAACAAAAGTGAGAGTCATTGTCCTCAGAGTTTACATTCTACTGCAGATGCACAATACTTATTGGGGAATATGTGTGTGTGTATGTATGTATACATGTGTGTATATATGTATATGTATATGTATATACACACACATGTTACCTGTTGTTTGATAATATTATGGTTTATAGTAGGAGTTTTAGGCTGTATATGTATATACACACATACACACACACACACACACACACACACACACACAGAGCCATGAAAAGTTTTTTTTGGGAAGAGTCAATTGGGGTTAAGTGACTTGCTCAGGGTCACACAGCTCGTAAGCGTCTGAGGCCATATTTGAACTCAAGACCTCTTGACTTCAGGGCTGGTGCTCTATCCACTGTGCCACCTACCTGTCCCTGGCACATGCAAAATTTAAAAAATTTATAAATATTAAAATTTTAAACTATACACATGTACGCACACATGCTGGTGAATATATGTATGTATAAATATACAGACGTGTGTGAAACGTGTGTGTATATTTATGTTTCTATGTTGTGTGTATATGTATTTCTGTATATATACATATTGGTGAATATATGTACACATGCATATTACACACACACATACATACACACACACATATATTCACCATTAAGTGTTTTATCTCTGCAATAGAATGTAAACTCTTTGAGAAATATCTAAATATAGATATTTCCATATAATGTATATCTATATATGTGTATACGTATTACATATACATATATTCACTAATAGGTATGTGTGTATCCACATACACACAAATACTTACATTTATTGGCCTAAGGAGGTAGGAGTTTGGATAATGACTCTCTCACTTGTCATCAGTATTTAGCCTGCAAAAATCTTTCTGACTCAAACCTCTCTGAGCCTCAATTTCTTTTTCTCAGGAGATGAAAATATGTGTGTAATACCTACCAGACAAGGTTATTTTGAGGATAGTGCTCTGTGAAGTGTAAGACACTATTAATTTGTGATGTTGATGATGGTGTTGAACGTACTAGTTAGGTAGGGAGGCAACAAGCATTTACAAACATTTATTATGTGCCTGGCGTGGTGCTAACCCCTGGGGATATACACATAAGCAAACAGAAGGAC